ATTATCAAGAAACCTGCTGTTCAAGATTTTTAATTTTTTATTGTTTTCTTTATTATTAACTTTATTATTAAATTATTATTATTAAATTATTATTAAAACTTATTATTAAATTATTAAAATTTAATATTGAATTCAATATAAATTATCAAGAAAAATATAACATTATCATTATCAAGAAAGATTCAATATAAAGTCGAAAATGTAAGGATTTTTTTTCTTTGTGACGTTTGTCAAAATTTTGATAATAACTACAGACACAAATGTGATGGTTTCTACAAAAAGGTATTAACTTATTTTTAAAGAATAAACTTATTTTTATAGAAAATAAACGCTTTTATAAACTTTAAAATTTATTGTTTCATCAGTCTCGATACAGTTGCCCACTATTTATTACGTTTGATTGCGAGACTGAAACACGCGATGGAAATTTAATTTAACTATTGTCATAGTGTCATAGTGACTCTTTTTTGTACCAATGAAAAGTTCTTATTAATCATTATATTGTGATCGAAGGGAGCGTAGTGTAAAAAATAGTTCAGAAGTGTTTGGCTATGACACTCAGGGTAACGTCGTCAGAGATTTAACCATGATTTTAAAACACAAAAGAAAGTATGCAGTGTTTGTTTGAAAAATTAAACGTACCGCTTCAGCAATATGTAAACCCAATTTTGAAAGTTGTTCGCCTAAAACGTTGGCAAAATATAGACAACGAGAAGGATTTGGAAGGTATGCGTGTTTTTGATCTTTTTGCGCTTTGTCACGTCATTGTATCAATGATGCAGCAAAAATTAAAAGAAAATAAATTACTGCGCATCGATCCGCAAGAAAGACAACAATTATTTGAAGAAGCACATCCGAAATGTACTATACGCAATTTGGCAGTTGACAAACGCATTTATGAAAATGGAATCTTAACAAGAAATCACATTTTTTCAAACGGATAGTTATTATTAAATTTATAAAATGCCAAAGAAATGTCGAGTAATGAGTTGCAATGGCAATTATAATAAAGAAAATAAAGAAAAGGTGTTTTGGTTACCAACTGTTAAAGAAGAACGTGCTCGATGGATTTCTATAATACCACGGGATAATATCCCTGATAGTAATACTGTTGTATGTGAGCGTCATTTTCCACCCAATTATATAACAATAATTAAGTATGGTAAAAAATGACCTCGTGATCCATCTTCACTATTTTTTTGTGTAAAACCAAGTCTTGTTAATACAAAACCTGGTCCATCTCGAACAAATAAAACTTTGTCTGAAGTGCGAAATAAAGTTCCAGATGAATTCCATTTTTTCAATCATCAAGATAAAGTAGCCAATTTTGAGCATATTAAAAATAAGGTTAAATCTGGCAGTCTTGACTTTTTGACCCACTCTATTTCGTACTTTACCAACAATACATTATGCATACAGTCTACTGATTTTGAAGAAAATACATCAATACCAAGAGTTTTGATAAAAATTATGAACGGTTTGACTTTTGAAAGGTTTTTTTGTGGTATAAAGTATAGAATCCAAAGTTTATCAAAAAATAGAGTAACCAAGTTTAAATCATATTCACAACTTGAAGAATGCTGGAGATACCTTAATACTTTAATAAAAAGCAACAAGTTAATGTACTTCAGCAACATTTTGATGTAATGAGTCCTGTTATCGTTGGAAAAAAAGTATAATCCTGAAATAATTATTCGTGCTTTTGAGTATATTCTTTATCTAGATCGCTATATGACAGACTTAGACAAGACTACCAACTTCCAAGTATTTCACTTCTTCAAAAAATTACATCAAAAATAAATTCTTTTTTTGACGATTTTGAATACGTCTGTGAGATTTTTAAAAAAGCAAAAAACAGTTATGAAAAAAAATGTATTTTATTAATAGATGAAGTCTACGAAAAACCTTCTCTTACATATTGCTCTGGGTCTTTATTTGGAGAGGCTGTAAACAAACCTGATTCATTAGCATCAACTGTTTTAAGTTTTATAATGGTTTCAATTTGTGGTGGTCCAAAATATTTATGTCGTATGTTGCCAGTATTCGAACTTAATGCTGATTTTTTATTTGAACAGGAAAATCATTTGATTGGTTGTATTCATAAATCTGATGGAGAGTTAATCGCTATCAATAATATCGATACAAATAATATCGATAATATCGATACAAATAATATCGATAACAATTGTATCAACCAGTCTTTTTACTCTAAGTTTACATGTAGGGAGCCATGAAGAACAGAAAGTATTACATTTTTACTTTATGACTTTGTCCATTTAAGTAAGTGCGAAAACTTAAGTCAGTGCGAAACAACTGGCTAACTGAGAAAACAAACATTAAAGTTTGAAGATGATGGTGAATTGAAATCAGATTTGTGGTCTGATTTAAAACATTTACATGAAACTGAAAAAGGGAGTTTAGTTAAACTTTCAAAACTTAACGATGTAGCGGTAGCACCAAAACCCATTGAAAGACAAAAAGTATCTACCTGTCTCCGCATTTTTTGTGAAGAAACATTAGCTGCGCTCAAGACATGTTCTAATATAGGTAAATCAGATGGTATCATAAGATTTATTGAAATTATATCAAAGTTTTGGAAAATTGTAAATGTTAAAGGACCATATGCAGACTTACGTTTTAGCGATGATGATAGAGCTGTTATATCTTCAGAAAACGATGAAAGATTAACTTTTTTAAGCAAAATTGCTTGTATAGCGCAGAAAATGACCAGCAGTCAAGGACAAAGACAGTGTCAGCTCATACCTGATACAGGGACAGCACTTTTGAATACATGTTCAGGAATGATTGCTCTTGTCAAGTACCTTATTAACTCTGGATTTCGATATGTGGTACTTGGTAAATTTATAGCAGACCCTTTAGAAAAAAATGTTTGGGAAGCTTCAACAAGGGTCTGGTGGGACTTATTTTATAAACACACAGCAAGTTTTAGAAAAAGCCAGAATATTTAAAACCAAATTAATTTTGCAAGTGGGTATAAATATAGATGAAGTTGGAAAGAATAAAGCAGTTCATGATTGTGAAAAGCGTAAGTATTTATTAGATGGCGATTCATCAAGTGTTTTTCATAAATTACCTGAACTGGAAGAAAAGCTGGATATGAATGTTAAAAAACCCTAGTTTACATTTCTGGATATGTTACAAAAACTGAAACAGGCAAAGGAACAAAATTTTATTATAGAAAATATGGGGACTATGTTAAAGAGATTAATAGTGGAGGTCTCAACATGCCGTTCAACAATGCCTGTGAGTGGACCATGTTTTGTTATATCATGTTTCATCCTCTTACTGATAAAGTATGTCGAAAGTCATTATGTAATATATTTATGTCAATATCTGACTTTTATGGTTTCAGTATGAAAAAGAAATCTGAAGTAGTTTTGTGTAATATTTTGTTTAATAACTTTTAACAAAAACTTTTAAAGTTGTCAAAGTAAATATAATTTTTATATTTTTTTAATATTTGTATTTGTATTTAATCTAATGTTTTTTTTATGAACACATTGTTTTAAGCAGCCGCGGCGCAGCGGCAGCGCACTTGCCTCAGAAGCGTAAGACCCGTGGTCCAAAACCCACCCCCGGGCAAGTTTTGCGACATCGGTTGGGAAGAAGGCGTGAACTTCCTATTAAATGCTCTTCCGCGGTGCTCTGTGATAAGACCGTAAGGATTTCTTGGGGCACCTTAATTAACTTAAAAAAAAAAAAAATTGTTTATTAGGCTCACTTTATTTTTTTTTCCCCCTATTCAAAGTGTCCGTTCCTTCTTTTCTCAATGAATCTTTAAGATTTATTCAATTAAAAATAGTTTTTTCATAAGATTTTTAAACTGATTATTTTTAATTTGAAAAAAATCTTTTAAATTATGCATTTTATCTATTTTATAGGAAAACTATCTTATCTAATTTGATGTTAATAAAACATTTACTTCACAGATTAAAAATATTTATTGCTAAGTAAGGCTTTATAAACTTGTTTTTTACTAAAGTAATGATAAATCGGTGTTTTCCCATTCGAAAAGACTTATTGAATATGTTTAATAATTATAAGATATAAAAAACCTATATTCTTCAATGACCCCCAATTTATCTGAAATTTTGTCCGTTTACACGGTCTGTAAGTATAAAGATGGCCATGATTGAAACCCATTTGTTTTATTTTTCGAATTTTTGCATGTTTTTTTCTGTTTGAAAAGTGCCCAGTTCAAAATGGTAGTTTTTGCGAATATTTAATGTTTTGTAATGATACTATGTTAGCAATAGTGAATACTGTAAGAAGAAGATTTTTATTAGAAGAAGAAACCTTTGAAAGTATGATGTTGAATTCGTATTTTTTTATAATCAATTTGCAATACTAGTTCAAAAAATCAATCGACTTTATGTGTTCGAGAATCCCTCACCTGTTCTAAAGTACTTTTTAGCTCATTAGGATTAGCTCATGTATGTGTGAAGATGCCTCTATCAATAGAATACCTGTAAAATTCGACATTGATTTTCTTTCTGCTTTTCTTTACTTTTGTATCAAAGGTATCAAAGAAAATTTTATTAATTTGTAAATAGAATTGTTTTCTCAGAAGATTATAATTTTTTTTTTTACTTTTTTGAATGTAAAAAAAATATGACTGACAATGACTGTGTGATTTGGCAGGACCAGATTTTCAATCTTCTTTTGAAAGATTTACCAACACACGTTGCCTCTTTTGGTTCATTAGATGGTTTTTTTAGCTAATTTGGATTAGCTCATTCTTATTGTAATATGCAGTATGGAAGAGTTATAAAAGTTCGCTTCGATATTTTTTTACACGATACTCCTTTCGATCACAATATAATGATTAATAAGCACTTTTAAGAATTTTGCAATTATCCTTGGGCAGACGTAGACAGACGTAGACGTATACAGATTTAAGTGATTACGAGAACATCATGAAACGACTATCGTTAGAAAATTCTTTTTTTATCACAAGCAACTTAAGTAAAATCAAATCATTGGCTTTTTAGATTTTTGTATTTTCAAAGATATCGTATAACAAACACCTCGCTTGCATATGCTGCACGCAATTCAGACTCTAAAACAAAAAAACTAGTCCGTTTTTCGGTCATTCATTATCTAATAAAAACTAAAACTGTGACCAATGTAAAGACCAAATGTAAAAAAAATGAAAAGACCAAAAAATGATAAATAGAAGTTAAAGGTTCTTAGTTTTTTACAGGAAAAAGTTGTTTTGCTAATTCAAAAATAAAATACGAACGGCTTGACGAGTCGATGATATATTTTTTACCTAGTCGTCGATAAGCACATTTTCGATTTCTGTTGAATTAGCAATTTCGTACTCGAATCGACAGGCATGGAATTTATTTATTTTACCACCGTTCGTTGTTAAATAGTCATCAGTGGTCTTTAATTCGATCCCTTTTAACATGGAATACTCTTCATACATTTCGTTTTGATATTTTCGCAGTTCTGGCAAGTAGAAAGACATATTTTTAGCATTAATTTTTTTCGTTTTGTCTAGGCAAAAAAAATTATCCCTCATAATAAACACAGTCTCTCGCTTTTTGTCCTTTTAAAACTGATAGATGCCAGGAGAAAAATAATCACTACCAATAATTTTTTCTGACTTACCGGTAAATACAACACCTTGCATTTTTTGTTCGTTTTGTTGAGGATATTTTTTCACTTGTTTTGATTGTGTTGTTAACTTTTTCTATTTTTTCTACCTTTTATAGTTTTTGAGAAAGCATGTTTTAAAACAACACTGTTCTAAAAATACATTTTTCTTGTAAACAAATTTGTTTATCACTCAATCGCTTTTGTAATTTGACGCTATGACTCTTAGCGTCAAATTACAAATGTCAAATTTACTTCAAAATAAAGACATGTCTTTATTATGATGACATGTCTTTATTATGAAGACATGTCTTTATTATGAAGACATGTCTTTATTATGAAGACATGTCTTTATTATAAAGAAACATTTTCGTAATTTTTATTTATTTTATGCAATTAATTTCTTTGATATTGTGAAAATAAACAATTAACGTTTAATAAAATTGAACTTTGTTAGCATGACTTTTTAATTAAGTATAAGAATCTAGATGATGATATACCCCAGTGGGCACCGGATCAAAAAAAGACGTCTTTTGAACGTTCAAAAGACGTCCAAAACGTTCAAAAGACGTTCAAAAGACGTCCAAAACGTGTATAAGATGTTTAAAAAACGTCTTTTTTACGTCCGTGCCCACTGGGACATCATGCATTGATACATCCAGAGCTCCTTAGCTTTCTTCAGGTTGATTGAAGTATTTGACTTTTTTTTATTTCTCGTTTGTGCCCTACACAAACGAGAAATAAAAAATAAAACTAATTCCTGTAAATAAAACTAATTCCTCTTTACTAAACTAAACTCTTTTTTTGACCTAAATGAAATCTTTTGCATATATAAATATAAAAATTAGATAGTCTCTATACTGGCAGTTCCAGCATTTTGTTGTGATTGAGGTAGCTTTAAGACATGAAGAAAACTCCAAAAATTTTTATCTTTATACTAATGTCAAACAATCATGCTTTGCAAAAATTTACGACAATTGGAAGCAGAGAAAAAGTAAGCACCAATAATTTTTTTTTTAAACATATTTTTATTACAACTACACAGTATTTACAAGTAACCAATCACATATTGATGGTAAAGATATACAAATATAAATATCATAAACATAAAGCTCGAAATATTTGAAGTAAATAAAAATGTAGTTGCAAACAACTCAGAAACATGAATAAAATAAATACCAATCACAACAGTATAATAACGTGAACGTGAAAATAATGCGAGAAATATCTATATATTTATCCAATTAAAATAAAAAATACAATAAATAAAAATAAATCTGCTGTTTTTTAGGAGAAGTGTTTAAATGTTACATTATAAGTTTGTTTACCACATTTCAAAATAACGTTTGTGTATAAATATGATAAAAACGAAATTTGTGTTAGATTGATAAGAAGAACTACTTGTTGGTAGTTTCAGAAGACTTAAGTCAGTCTCGTCATCGATTACCTTTTTCTAAACGTGGAATACGCATAAAAAAATCAGCTGCATACGTGGTATATATGTATGTTGTACATATATACCTTGTTATTAATACTATTTTTTTTTTATCGATTTGTATTAAAAGTTAAGTTACATTTATTTTTTTTACATTTAATTTAAAAAAAAATCCTTATAGTTGTTTAATTTGATTACTGTAGATTTTAGCTATATTTTCAAAGAGTGTTTGTTGTTTAAATTTAACAGCAATTCGTTTCTGGAAACTAATTTGTTAAATAAATAGGGACCACGATATGTAATTGAGAATTTTGAGAGTCTTATTGTTTCAAACGGTATCTTAAAGTTGCCTGTTGCTCTTGTGTTGTATTTATTTATATTGTTTCTAAAAAAGTGTGCTGGAAAATGTTCGGGAACCAGATTTAGTTTATATTTAAACATGTAAAGTATATTTTGAAAAATATTTATTTAAAATATATTTAGTACGTTTATTTTTTCCAGTTTGGGTCGGGCATGAGTAAATTTGTTTTTGTTGTATACGAGTCTTGAAGCGTGTTTTTAACGTGAGTCAAGTGGTTCTAGTTTAGATTTATGGGCACAACCTTATGCTATATTGGCATACATAACATACCTATGTATGAATGAAATGTAGACAAGTTTTGGACATTTTTGTGACAAAAATGGTCTTGCCTTTTGAAGTAAACCTATGTTCCTTGATATTTTTGTGTTTATGTAAATTATTTAAGGTTTCCAGGAGATGTGTTCATCAATTGAAACTCCTAAAAATGTTATATTCAGAGCTTTTTTTATGGTTACACTTTTTATATTAACTGTTGATAGGTTCGGGGGTATTTATTAAATTTGTTGATCAGAGTGGAATATACTTAGTTTTTTTTTATTGAGTGACAGTTTTCATGATTTAAACCATATATTAATTTTTTTTAGTTCAGCATTTGTTTTTTTAAAGAGGTCTTCATATGTCTTTGATGAGTAAAATTAGTTTGAATTTGTAAAACTATAAAAATAATATCTCTAATATCTTTAAAACTATAGTGTTCGGCAAACACAATAGTTTTAAAGATATTAGAGGCATTTGGAAGATTGTTTATATAAATAAAAAACAAAAGAGGAGCAAGAATGGAACCTTGGGGTATACCACATTTTGTTTTTAGTACATTTGAGTTGCTTTTTCTATCTATAATAACACACTGTTGTCTTTTATTAATGTAGTTTTTAAACCAATTTAAAGCTTGATTTTTTATACAATAGTTTTCCATTTTTGCCAGTAAAATCTCATGATTGACGATGTCAAATGCCTTTGACAAATCAATAAAGATCCCTAATGTAATTTTTTTTAAATGATATACTTATCCTATTTGAGAGGTCTGACCTTTATTGATAACTTTATTGGTTTTTAAATATTCATTTAATTTATTATAGATTATTCGTTCTAGAAGTTTTTAGAATACCGAAAGGATTGAAATTGATCTATAATTGTTTAAAGATTGATTTATAGATGATTTATAGATGACTTATAGATAACTTTGGAGATTTTTTTGTTTTTCAGGTGAATGAATTAAATACTTAGTAAATTGGATTACGTATCTCCTTAAAAACATCTTAAACTACTTTGAAAAAAATTTCATCGATCCCTGGGGACTTGATTTTATGTGATTTTATAGCTATTTCAAGTTCGTCTTGATTTATTTGATTGAAATTTAAAGTGCAGTGTGAGCCTGTTAAGCAACTTTTAAATGTATTATTTGGGCATTGAATTTTTGATGCAAGATCAGCATCAATGTTGGCAAAGTAGTTGTTAAACTCATTTAAAATACCTCGCTTGTTGTTTGATTCACTTTCGTTAATTGAAACTCTAGACAACATTTTGTTAAAAATAGATTTACTTTTCACAATTATTTCTTCATAATGTCCGATGTCTTTTTTAAGTCGTCATTAAATATTTGTATTTGATTATAATAATATGAATTTTTTTTTAATAATATGAATTTTTTTTTTTTGCAAATAGGTTTTTGTATTAATTGTAGAGGAAAAAGTTCGCTTTGCTTCTATTTTTTAAGTATTTTACGTATAGGTTTTGTTTTTGTTTAGAGGATTTTCTTATTTATTTATTTCTTATTATTTATCCATGGACAACATAAATATTTTGCTTTAATTTATTTTTCTTAAATTAGAAAACTTTTATGATATTGTAGGATGAATAAATTTATAAAGTTATTGTACTCAGAGTAAGTGTTTCCTAGGTTACATTTTTGGTAGACCTTTTGCCAATTTGTTGGCGATAGCAATTCTTTAAATTTTTGAATAAACGTTTCATCGATAATTCTTTTATAACAAGATTTTTAAATTATTAATTTTTGTGGAATTTTGTGACAAAGAGAAGTATATTGGAAAGTGATCTGAAATATCTGTTTTTATTATTTCTGATTTTAGATAAGTATCTAGGCAGTGTTAGTAACTTCATTGTGAGGATCTCACTATCGCCACCAGAGTTTGAAAGATCATTTTTCATTTAGATCATTCCGAATATAATTCACAATTCCTCCTGCTCTTTTGCTAAGTGATATTTCTTTAGAGAATTATTTATAGGTTGGAATTTAAAGGTCATACTTTTTTCTGCTGCTTCGTCAAAGCAAAGTATGTTTGCATTCAAGGAAAAAGTTTTTTAATTTGTCTATATTAATATATAAACTTCTGCTGTTTATGTGTATTACCGTAAAGTGTTTTTAAGTTCAAATTCAAAATTTTGTATATTAAAATATGCAGAATTGGAGTATTTTTTGTTTAAAAAGCTAAAATTTTATTCCATGAGCAAGGTCATCTAAGTAATCATGTGACATCACTTTAGTAGTGCAATGTTAAATTTTTTGATGATCTATTTGTTTCTAAATATCTCAAGTTGTATATATTAAAGATTTAGTTGTGCATTTAAAAAGAAATGTATTTTAGTTGTGCATTTAATCAGGAAAGTAGTGCATTTAACCAGGAAGTTCACGCCTCCTTCCTTACCGTGACGCGAAAATATGTTCAATGCAGTTTTTCATATTTTCAATGCAGTTTATTATGAATTTAGTTTTCATATTTTCAATGCAGTTTATTATGAATTTAGTTTTCATATTTTCAATGCAGTTTATTATGAAGTTAGCATATTTTTATCAGTTTTATTAAAGTGTAAAATAGTTAGTGTTTTTAAATTTTGTGTTGATAATATTTACAATAACCTACTCGTTGGAGTGTTTACTTGCAATTTGAAGATAGACAGCAGACAGTGGCTTAGGTACTTAACGATGAATGTAAACTTTCTTATTGGACTCAACTGTCCACTACCTAACACAAACTTTTCCTGGCAATATAAATATTATGTCCAGTTTTGAAATGTTTTAACATTTTAATGTAATTTAAATAATCTATGTGAACAAGATAAAGAAAGTGATGAATATTCTACAAATGCTATTCCTTTGTAAGAAAAGGAATTCCTTTGTCAGCAAAGTAATTCCTTTGTAAGCAAGATATTTTCTTGCTTACAAAGAAATTTGTAAGCAAGATAATAATTGTATTCCTATCAATGACTTAAACAATGACCGTTTTTTTTTTTTTTAATTTAAAAAAAAAACAAACTATATTTATGAAATTTAAACATTGGAAAAAAATTAGTA